GGGAAAGCAAGTTAACCCAGAAATATCTCGCAGGCACGTGCACGCGCTCAACAGTTTTGACGTCCTTCATCGTCTTAGTTTTCCTAGCAGCATTTGCGGAGCCTTTCTAATAGTTCTGCTCTTCGCGTTGTGGCAACTTTTTGGGTTCTCAATATCTTGTACTTCAATATATTCGCCATCTTCACAATGCTGTGTACATTAAATGGCGGTTCAGTGTGTTCAAATAAACAGAGTTTCTACATGACCACAATGTTATTTTTTTAAAAGAAATAATGCTTGTAAGTTCCAAGCAGTTCTGTTACCCCAAATTTAGTACATAATACAAGTATTTAAGAGTGCAAAATATAACATTTTTTGATATTTTGTGTATTTCATGCACATCTGTGGTTTCATTACTTCCTACAAGATGCACGATTTTGTCAAATGAAATGTCATCATAGAACCTTTTAATTAGCATTAAGTAAGACTCTTGCTACATTTTCTTTATAGATGAAACAGTCATCACACTAGTTTTTGAGGACGATGTGCCACAGAAACAAAGCACTGATGATGAGCATGGCATCGTGAACAGACATTTTTCCAATGTTGTAGCTATGGAACTCAGCCAGACCAGTGAACATCCTTCTCCAGAGCCAAAGCTGCGGAGCGGGTGAAAAGCAAGATTTCTAATTAACAAATACAAAGAGCTTAACTCTTTCGTAACCGCGTCCATAGAACTTGGGTCACCGGTGACCCATAAGCGCAGCGCGAAAATTTCAAAATACCGGCGCTCCTATGGACTAGCTGCACCATCCAGCACATTTTCTAATCACTAATGTTCCATTTCCTGTGTAGTTTGTTTTTTTTCCGCGCGTCAGTGATTTTTATCGCCGGTTCGTGACGCACGTGAGCACACACGTGCTCACGTGCGTGCGGCAACCAGAATGTGCTCACGTGCGTGCGTGTACAGCCAAGGAGGAAGTGATGTGAGTTATGATGTGCCGTTAAGGCGTACGTGAACAAATGCTGCGCTCCAGATGCGGGGGAGTGTCTCATCGAGTCCCAGGGACCATCGGGCTACCATCTATGTGCAGTGACAACGGACCGTCGCGCTGTACGAGCTTCTAGGAGGACGAGGCCTAACGGGCCGGTCTCGAACCCCGAAAGCAACATCGGCATGTAGTGGAGTGGTGCCGCCCGCGGACAAGAGGTGCCGCCAGTTTCTACACCAGTGGTGTGCGAGAGGCGGTTCGTGAAATGTTATCGGCTGCCCTCGCCGTTTTGACGTGCAGCATACTATGACGCCGAGGAGGTAGGCCAGAAAGACAACAGGCTACTGCTAGTGACAAGCAACAGGTAACACTGAAGGCCAAATAACGAAGCGAGCAAAACAACAGCAACGCACCGGCGCACCAGTCGTACAGTGCGACAGATGTGACAGATGGTTATACCTTGACGAGGCTGGCCTCCCTGACCTCACCACGGCCAGTGCGGTTAACCCATTCACTTGCAAGCCATGCTTGACAGTAGAAGCCTCACAGACCAGGCTACAGGCTACATGCACTTGAGGCCATAGTAGCAGGTCTGGGGCAGCAAGTAACCGCCCGAGGCCAGGAGGTACCTGACCAGTCTGTCCATATCAACACCCGAAACCGGGGCGATGAGAACCCCAACATCAGGCTCATCGCGACAGCCCGAGACTCAGCCCCTGGACGGAAAGAGCGCGCCTGTCAACTCTGACGACTCAGCACACGACGATCACAACGAGCCATGCAGACAGGAGCAAGGCAGGGCACCAACCGAATGGCCTCGAATACACACGAATATGAAGAAGGCTGTAGACAGGTCGACGGGTGAATCACTGCAAGAGCTAGGTACTACACCAAATTCACCTGGGGAAGCTCGGCAAGTTGGTGTGAGGCAAGAAGACAACCTCCCAGCCCCAGACAACACAATGGATCTATCTGCAATGGGCCCGGAGGCGCCCCCGAGGCTGAACGACGATGCGATGAAGCAGGAGCGTCGACACTCTAAAGGGTAGGCGAAGTCAGCTCAGGCTTCCCGCAATACTCACTCGCAGATTTCGCTGGTGGAAGATCTGAACGTGCCACACGTCACAAGAACACTCCAACGACAACTTGGCCCCAAACAGAATCTGCAGACTTGCTGGACGCAACACGCGACTGAAACGTGCACAGAAGTTGCTACACCAGTACATAAGAGAACCCCAAGGGGAAGCCGGCCGTTGTCGCTGGCTGGTGGTGCTGCTGGTGGGAGCAACAGACGCAATTCGGGGGACCCGCCCTGAAGACGTCGTTCAAGTGATACGTGACAGCGTGGCCCTGTATGCGGAGAGGCTGGTGATTTGCTCTGTTTCAGTGGTGACTACCTGAGGGAAGGTTACACTGGCTCGAGCTATTACATTGAATGCCCAGCTAAGAAAGATGTGTTCCATACTGAGAGGAACGTTCTTGGACAACATTAAGCAGTTGGAAGAAGGATGGCTGGCCCGGGACAGTGCTCTCTATGTCGCAGACACAGCCTCCCAAGTGGCGAGCCGATTGGCAACGATTGCAAACAATTTTTTAGGGAACCGAGAAAGTCCTCGGAGACGCGACAAAAGGGGCCCGAAGAGAAAAAAGGAAAACGACACCGGTACCACTGGCCAAGGAAGCCCGGGCGGGTTGACACCTACTACCTTAGACGTTTGCGGACAGGGGAACGAAGGTCATCCAGCTCGGCCCCAGACGCAGCACCCCGTTCTTCTCCGGCATCCACAACCCGGCACCACCAAACACCCACAGGAGCCGACGAACACCCAGAAAACAGAGCATTGGGCCAAAGTGCCCCCTGTGGGGCTACTATTCCAGGAGACGCGATCAAACGACGTGATACCACAAGCCGTCCAGCCCCAGCAGTCCCCGCCCTGGCAGGGCAACATACCGCCTCCATACCAAACCCAACTGATGGGAGCACTACCTATTGGACTAGACCTGGCTCGCATGATAGCCGACATGGTCCAGCACTACATGAGGCAACAACGTCCCCAATGACATGCCCTCCGTGCCGAGCAGGACATGAGCAGGAGAGCTTTCGCAGTGGGGAGTATGGGAGACACTGTGGTCCAGAGGACATTCAGACATGTCGATCAAAGTGCCATAGGCGCCGGGCGAAGTGGCAATGCTTCCGATTGGGTTTTCTTAACATGCACGGTGCCCGCCGGGAACAAAAGTGGGGAGACCAGTATAATGCCCTGAGAGACGAAGAGTTCTCACTATATGCAGTGGCAGAGACCCACTTGCGAGATCTGGAAGAGCCACCAATTCAGCCAGACTGGCACTGGACGGGTCAGAACAGATCTGGCCAGAGTCGCAAAGGGGGAGGGGTCGGTGTGTTATGGCACCACGACCTCCATTGGCAACGTTTGGATGGGGAAATGCAGAGACCACTTGTGGGTAACAGGAAATGTGCTTGGTGTGAACACTGCGGTGTGTGTTGTATACTTGTCTGTGCAAGGCCTACACGAAGGAAATGTAAGGCTTATTGGATGTGTATGCGATGACGCACGACGACTGCAGGCAGACAACGAGCTCATCGTTATTGGCGACTTTAACGGGCACCCGAGTGAGCTGGACGGGCACCTGGATGCCAACGGGCAGCTGCTCCTGCAGTTGGCCGAAGACTTAGACCTCGTCATCATGAACCTCGAGCCACAGTGGGAGGGACCGTTCACGTGGTGTGCCCGCGGCAGCGCCACCAATATTGATTATGCCCTGGTCTCTCTGCGTTTGCTTGCAATGCTACAGAGGTGCGGTGTAGATGAAGAGGGAAAGTACAGTCTCGGCAGCGACCATAATTGCCTCAGGCTCAGCTTCGGACACTCCTGTCATAAGGGAAAAATAATTTCCTGACGAAAGAAGATCAAGCGGTATCTACCACACCATTCTATCGAGGCTGTCGTTGGGGACTTCGAGGCTTGTGCCGAAATGCACAAGGCTGCCACTTATGACGAGTACATGTTGGCCCTGCGACGGATGGTGGAACGACATATGGTCCCAGACAGACGGTCGACATGAGCGTCAGAGAGCGATGTTGAGGAAGCCTGGAAAAGGCGTCGAGAGGCAAACAGGGAGCATTGAAGGATGGTGCGGTCGTCGGATACAGAGGCATGCGCAGCCACCTGGCAGAGATATCTTGAACTGAAGCACGAGGTAGAGGCATTGGTGCAGGCGAAAATTGCCGAGTACAACAAAAAGCTATTTCAATCTCTGCGCGAAGAGGGCAAGAACGCAGCCCAGAAGTTCTGGCAATATGTGCAAACACTGGACAGGCGACAACAGAATTCGCCCCAATTGAGGGATGCTGACACCAACCAGCCAGTGGCACATGTGCGGTAGCACCTGACACGATACATCAGTGGACTGTTTGGCTCGACGGGAAATGACGGCGACAGGGATGCTCCCGCGGCTGCGACACTGCATCCTGCCCTCGGCGAAAGGCAAGAGGAAGCGGAACCCCGCTGGGCGGTGAGCAGTGTGACAGTCATCCGTGCCTTAGCGCGAATGAGCACTCGAACTGCAACGGGGCACGACGAGGTGCCAGCGTGCCTGGCGAGGTGCCTCCGCCCACAGGCTAGGGAGAAGCTTGCAGACCAGCTGTCGAGCATCCTTTCTGGTTCTGAAATCCCGAAGGACTGGCGTCAGGGTCGGATAACATTGATCCTAAAGCAAGGCGGTGCGGCGGTCCTGCTGCAGAGCTATCGCCCTATCACGGCCACTAGCGTGATGTACCGAATGTTTGCCGGTATCCTAAGGGAATGGCTCAGTGGCTGGGCTGAGACGTAGAACTTGCTGACTGAACTACAAAATGGGTTTCGTTCGGGTCTTAGATTGGAGGATAATATTTTCACTCTGACCCAGTGTGCCGAAATAGCGAAGCTTGAAGGGCAATCTCTGCTATGTTGTTTTCTGGATGTACAGAAAGCATACGATAGTGTTCCGCAGGCAGCATTGTTTGATTGCATGAACCACTTGGGCCTTCCAGAGATCGTCATCTCGACCGTGAGACGTATGTACAGAGGTAACACTGTAGTGGCACACTTCAGAGATGTTCAGTCAGACCCTGTTGTAGTAGTGAAAGGCCTGCGTCAGGGTTGCCCACTTTCACCATTACTGTATATTCTTTACGCCTCAAGCCTCGAGAGGAAGCTTCTTAGCTCCAGCCTTGGTTTCCGACTCCACCACACGACCAGCGGTATCGATGAGAGGTGTCGTCAACCGGGCTTAACGTTCGCAGACGCCATCGTGCTCATGGCAGAAAGCACCGAGGAAATGCAGGTACTGCTGGACATCTGCCAGGATGAAATCACCCGCCTGGGGCTTTGCTTCAACGTTAAGAAGACAGCCCTTCTCAGACTTGTGGGGGAGTGCACCAAGGAGAGTGTTGCGACCCTGAGAGATGCCGAAGTGAGCAGCTGCACCGAATACAGGTACCTGGGTGTAAAATTGTCAGCATCAACGGACATGTACAGCCTACATGAGGCGAAGATGCGTGAAGCTGTACTGCGGGCTCAGAGCATCCTCTGGCGCCGCTGTTTGTGGGGCTGCAAGCGGTATTTAATGGTACGTGACTTTTGGAAGCTCGTCCACGTGCCTGGGCTGACATTTGCGAACGCAGTCGTGATTATGTCAGCGGCCACCAGAGAATGGTTAGAGCGGCGACAGCGGGAAGTAGGACGCATCGCTCTGGGCTGTCATGGCATGGTGGCGAACGAGACAGTCCAGGTGGACATCGGCTGGTCGAGCTTCGAAGAGCGTGAGGCGGCCAGCAAACTGACGGTTAGAGCGGCGACAGCGGGAAGTAGGACGCATCGCTCTGGACTGTCGTGGCATGGTGGCGAACGAGACGGTCCAGGTGGACATCGGCTGGTCGAGCTTCGAAGCGCGTGAGGCGACCAGCAAACTGACGGTCCACTGCCGCCTGATGTACATGGCCCGCAAGAGGTGGTCTTAACGAGTTTTTGACTACCTCGTGGCGACATGTATGCGCACCAAGTGGGTACGACGAGTGTACAAACTTGAGAAAAAGTTTGGGTTTTTCCAGGCGCCACTGGCGGCCGAAAACCCACGGGGGCGCACTAAGGAAATTCGCCAACGTATTAAGGAGGCCGAGGAAGAGAAGTGGAGGCAGGCACATGTGAACAAGTCAAGTCTCCTTCTCTACCGCCAGCACAAGGACACCATTGCTCCAGTCCCACTGTACGACAATGGCCTTGGGAGTGCGCTGTTGTTTGAGGCGAGAGCAGGGGCCCTGCGTACTCCCGTCCGTAAACGACGGTGAACTCGTGAGTGTGGTGTGTCGTGCATGTGGTGGGGCTGACGAGAACATCACACACATCGTGACTGAGTGCCTGCAACTGAGCCCATCCAGTTCGAACACAGATCTCGCTGCCGCACTGGGTTTTGTGGACTCAGGTGATGTGGTGGGCTACGCCGCAGTGAGGCGCAGCAAAACTCGCCTAGAACAATGGAGAAAAATAACTCTCCGGGGACTTCGGGAGGGTTCTTAACTCCGCAACCCGCCCAGTTTGTATTTTATTTTCTTATTTTCTTTTTATTTTTTTTACTATCGCTAGGGTGCCAAAGTGTGCCCGCCCGTTACAAAGGGAATGGCCTCATTACCATCATCATCATCATCATGAAATTGCGCAGTTCGCTTCTTATGTTTACGAAGATGGCTGACGATCCGGCTGCCGGACCCTCGCCTGAACGACGTCTTTCTGGCAATTCTGTCGCATCTGCAATTGATTATTCTGCTGTTTCTAGCAGCAGTGACTCTGAGGATAATATCGGATCGTCGGAGTTTAGTTCTGACGATGGAGATTCGCAAAACCAGCCTGGATCGTCGTCAGCTGTTCGGCGGTAATTTTAGTTTTTTAGCACTTCTCAGGTTACAGATTTTTTAGGCCGCTTGAAATGTCGTAAGGATGTTGGCAATATTATATCTCTTATTTACAGGGTCTCTACAGTATATGGTGGAGATCTGCTTCCATCAGCCCAGCAGAGAGTGGCGTTTAGCCCAAGAAGAGAACGAGGCCTTGACCTCGGAATGGTGCTGTGCAGTGAAGCAAAGCGGCTCACAAAAGCGATCGACGTTTTTGTGATGTTTTTCACAGCGGAGGTAGTAAATAGGATTTGTGTGAACACAAATAAATATGCGTGGACGCAAATCTTGAAGAAGCAGTCCTATGCCGAGGCTGATGGTTCGTGGAAAGAAGCGACGGCCGCGGAGATGATGAAATTCATTGGCCTGCTGATCTATATATGGGCATCGTCGAGCTGCCATGGCTACCTCTCTACTGGAGCAGAGGCTCCATGTTTCCAGGTTTGGTTCCTCCCAAAATAATGTCGAGAACGCGTTTTTTTGCTCTTCTGGGTATGATCCATGTCTCGGACTCTGACCAAGAAAGCGGCCGAAAGTTGGATAAAATTTCTTGGCTGCTTGAGCACATGAATGAGCATTCAGCGAAATTTTTCCAGCCACGGAAAAGCCTTTCAGTGGATGAAAGGACGGTAAAGTTGAAAGCACGATCGGGAATTCGCCAATATATGAAGGACAAAGTTGTGAAGTGGAGGTATAAGTTGTGGATGCTTGCTGACACTCAGACAGGCTACACCATACAATTTTATGTGTACACGGGCAAGCGAGAGAAAGCAAGCGCCAATGGCTTAGCTTTTGACGTTGGTATAAAGCTGTGCGAGCCATATCTGGACCAGGGCTACCATATCTATATATGGACAATTTTTACACATCCACAGCTGTGTTCCTGCATTTACTGAAAACATGTACGCTGGCTTGCGGCACAACAAAAAAGGATCGCCGTGGATTTCCGCAACAGATGAAAGACAGCAGCTGGGAGAAGAAGGCTGAAAGAGGAAACAGTCGTTGGTTGAGAGAAAGTGGCGTTTTGTACCTGCAGTGGAAGGATCGGCGAGTAGTGAACATGATGAGCACCATCCATACAGCCAACAACCATGTGATTGCAAGGCGTCGGGTGAAAAAAGATGGGAAGTGGCAGGAAATATCTGTGCAAAAGCCAAAGCTCGTTGATGAATACAATGCTGGTATGCTTGGCGTTGACAAGTCCCACCAAATGATTACGTTGTATAACGTGCTCATCAAATGCGTCCGATGGTGGAAAACTGTGTTTTTCCACTCAGTTGACATTGCTTGTGTCAACAGCTCTGTCATTTTTCAAGCTCATCGCCAGCAGCATGCCGGAGCATCTGAGCTGCTAAGACCATCAAACTTTGACCAGCTGGCTTTCCGAATGGAGCTCGCCCAGCAACTTCTCGATCTTGAGGAGAGGCCACAGGTACCCACACCTCCTCAAACCAGGTCCACCCAGCACAAGCCATATAGATTGGAGAAGCCGAGAAGATGCAAGAAGTGCTATGAGGACAACAAACTAGACCATAAAACAAATGTCATCTGCAAAACCTGCAATGTTTGCTTGTGCTTCACTACAGCTGGAAACTGTTTTGCCCTGTACCACGCCAACCTTAGGAATTGAATTTTTTCACTACTTAGAGCTTTGAGATAGGTTCTAGAGCCTGTGGCTACTATTAGACATTGTAATGTGAAGTTATATTTGTTAATTACACATTTACACCTTTTTTTTATGGTAAAGGCATACCTTACGCTGTTTTGGTGCCGTGTTCAAAGTTATGTTTCGTGTTTGAGATTTTTTTCCCGAGTTCCTATTCAGCACAATTTTTTAAAATGCCCATGGTTCAACAGCTCATTTATCTATTTATTCAGTAACATTCATTGCATCGTTCTGTTTGAAAAATTTGTAGAGGGAAAAAATATAATTGTGACACTAGATGGAACAAGGCAGTTTCCACTAGGCAGAAAAAAAAGTTTGTAACTCATATGGTTTATGAGCTAGGCAGCTCCAACTTTCTTCTTTTATAGGCCATTGATTTGAAAACATTTTGTATATTTCAAATTATTTTTCTTTTTTTCTGATTTTGTGTTATAAGCACTGATTTTCAATAAATCTTGTTTTTCAAGAATATTATTACTTGTTACCCCCAAATATTTCTTTTCAAAAGTAATATCATTAGAAAGTACGTTTATTTAGCTTTCTATTGATATATAACATGGCACTGTAACAATGATAATGTCTACTACAAAAAATAATTACAAAAACCTACAAAAAGTGGCACATTTTCCCACGGTAAGGAAAGAGTTAAGGACCTTCTCAGCAAAAAGCATGGCTTTCAGTAAGTGTTATTTAGAGTAATTGTGAAGTGCACCACATATGTAACTTATACATGTTTCTGACACATGCCATATCTTTCTGTTTGTCATCATTGAAGCTTTGCATGTATTTTTTCCAGGACGAAAAAGACCTTCGGCAAACGCTTGCCAAAATCATTTCTAAGAAATTTAAATCTCCGTGTAGCCCGCTTCAAGTACAAAATAAATAAAAAAGTTTTGAGCGGGAGTACAAACGCACCAAGTAAGAGAAGAACATACTAACAATATTTTCAATTTCTAGAGAACTGAGGGATCTTCTGAAGAAAGAACATCACATACCCCGACAGTGCTGATTGCCCTAGGAAGAACAGGTAAAGTTATTGTATACGAAATGTAAATATTTCATGTTTGTGAGGTTACATTTCATTTCAGAGACAGCTCGATACAGGCATGCCAAATGATCGTCCGCCAGTGAGTGTGTTTAAAGATGCAGAGCCTGACAAACCGAAAGGTGTGGTTGCTACACATTATGGTTCAGAACTTGCCGAACTTGAAGACGTGGCTGCAGATGAAGAAACAACATTAAGTCAGCCACAAAAAAAGAAAAGGGTCGATCGCACTCCGATTCAAGCTCTCCTGCAAGAATTCATAAAAAACCAGAAAGAGAGAGAGGAGCGGTCAAAGGCAAAAATGAGACTTTTCGAACACCTGGTGACTGCTGTTGAAAGTCAATGGGGGAAAAATTGAGAATAAATTGAGATTCAACAAAATTGTTTCTCTTTTTCTTAGACAACAACACAGTCCAATATTGAGTATCACAAATTGTTATTGACATCCTCACTTCGCACTATCATTCATAAAATCTTCATTGAGGCAATAACAATGCTTTTGAGCAATGGCTTTTCTCAGAAATTCATTGTATGCAGCCAAACTTCAGCCTGTTATATCATTCTCATCATCATTTCCAACTTCTTGAATCTCTGCCATTTCTTGGAGCTCAATAATGAAATCCATCTCTCTAGCATATGTTGTGCAACGCACAAGCAGCCATTGTAGCAGCATCAACAAAGTGAAGCATCTGAAACCTTTGTTTTCAGATGACCAAAGGCATTCTCAATGGCAGATCACTGCTGTGAGTGGCGCTTGTTATAGCGCTTTTTCCTTGCTGGAAAAGTCTGCTCATTATCCCAGTATGGTGCTAACAACCACGGGAGCAAGGGGTATGCAGGGTCTCCAAGCAGGTTACTGTCTGCACACTTCGTCGGCGCTACCTCAAAGAAAGGGCCTTCACGAAGCCCCCTGGCATCGTGTGCAGATCCAGGAAATTTTATTAAAACAACAACGAATTCGTTCCTGTCATTGCATATTCCCTGGAGCACCACATATGGAAATTTCTTGCGGTTAAAGTATGAATGCGATGACTCTCCGGCTTCTTAATCTCTATGTGGCAAGCTTCCACGCAGCCTATGGCGTTGCGCAGGTCTTTACCTCAACTTCTTAAAAAAAAAGTCAGTTTTGATCCATTCTTGCTTACGATTGTCTGGCCAAGAAATGACTTGTTCGCTTAGGCTGTTTAAAAAGTGCAGTACGCGCTGTTGAAGGTTAGAGAGACTTCGCCGACTGCCCTGGTTTCCTCGCGTCCAGACAGGTGATCGAAGACCTTGTCTTTCAGAAGAGCTGCTGT